CAACATTTCAGTGAGAAATTCAAGTGCATTAGAGAACTTTGACATCTTACAGCAACCACTTATCAACATTATCTTACAGCAAGTCCTCGCTCCTCCATAATCCACAAGTTCAGAAGAATTCAGGGGAGAAAAGTTCCTCTGGTAGGCACCTCACAGTGGGTTCAGCAACCAGTTGTCGGAGTTCAAGAACGCGATTCTAATGGCCGCGATTCTCACCTGCAAAAACAGAGCAAGCGGCGAAAGATGATTCTGCGCTACCAACTCTATCTTAGATGGAGCATAAGAGTCCAGAAATTAAAAATCATTCCAGCTGCAACCCAAAAAAAATGAAAAAAAAATCAATGCAATGAAGGTTTTAACACAAAACCAGGAGAATGGGAAAAAATGCAAAAGAATGAAGAAGAAATAAGAGATCGACTGTTTTAGAGAGGAGGAAATGAAGTAGAGGCGGCGGAGCTTCTGAGGATGAAGGTGAGGCAAAGGAGAAGGGGAAGAAAGAGAGGGGCAAGCGGCGGAAATTTAAGAAAAACCCTAGAGGGCAAGTACATGTAGACAAGGCTGGGAAAGCTCGAACCCATTAATGCTCCGACTGAAAAGCTGAAAAAAAGGCTGAAGAGTAAAAGCAAAAGTAGTACAGAAATTATTTATTGCCGTTATTAGATGAGGATGAAGGCTAGCTGTAGTAGTGAAATGGGAGCGACCAAGGGCAGACAGCCTTTCTGATATACAACAGTGGCAAACGTCATGCAAGAAGACAACGAAGCAAAACCGTGCCGGACGAAAAGAAACGAGCGAAAGACAACAACAAATTCAGAAATTCAAGTTGAAAGGTGAACAACATAAAACGACGTCGTCAGGAACCACGCACAGCGCACGTGGGAAGACGACGAAAACCATCCAGGTCATCAGAGCTCTTCGGCTCTTATTCTACTTATGTTGATAAGGATTTGTACTATTCAAATAGTACAAGAAAATCATCTAATCATTTCTTGAATTTTTTTAAAATAGAATTTAATTGACAAAATTAAGTCACAATACCAATAGTCAATCAATCATCAAAGGGTTTGCCTAACGGATGTTCGTTGTAGGGGTGAGCAAACGGCATATTCGGTAATTCGGGTATATGAATTTGGTAAATTCGGTTATTAGACTTATAGAAATTTAAACCATTTTCAAATTCAAATTGGAGATACCCGAATTCATTTCAATTCCGAGTTTGAATTTGGATAAAAGAACATTATAGTGAAAGTATGTTATTGTGTAGTTGTATACACAATATCACTTATTTACTTATAAATTACAAAGTATGTAATACATTATACTTACATTTTTTCGTATTTCTTATATAGCTTTTTTGGAAAAATATGCAAATCACTTAATTTGCTTTTAATAGTGAAAGCCAATATACTAATACATTAATTTGCAATTCATATGCATTCACTTAGACTGCTTAGTTGTTTTGCCTATGTTTAAAGCCTTAAGATTAGTGAATAGAGAATATGAATTTTTATGTTAAATATGTAATGTAATTTTAGAGTACACTAATATTTGCAAGTTACAAGTTACACATTCAAATATCAATAATTCAAACATGAATGATATACCAAATTACCAATATCTAAATTCTAATTATTAATTATATTTATTGTTTAATATTTAGTATTATACCTCTACTTATTAATTATTATCTAATTCTAGTCATGTATAAAATAATAAGTATTATAATTATGTTATGTATTGTTATATATTTGTATTATTATAGTCATATAACAATTAACAAATACTAAAATAGTATATTGTACATCATTATTTATTATTATTATCATAAGTACATGATAATACCATATGCTAACTATTATTAATAGCATTTACCTATATAATATAATAATATATTAGTAGTATATACTAATACTAAATAGCATTTATCTATATATTATATAATTTTATAAACTAATTTGGTATTCGAATGCGGTAATACGGTACTCTATTTCATTTTACCGAATTTGAATTTGAAATCGATTATTACCAAATTCATAATCTCATTACCTATTTCATACCATATTAGAATTCGGTAAATACTGTTTTTGTACCAAATACCCGATTTCAAATTACTAAATTGAATTTGAATTCGGATATGAATTTGATATGTACCAAATTTGCTCACCCCTAGTTCGTTAGGCATTCATAAAAATATACTTTAGATTTTTGAAAGATAAAATTAATTAAGAAAAATGTATAAATGTAAGGGAGGGTAATAACTATTCATGTGTACATATACATAGTAGGCTATGTGGAATTTATGTGTGTTAACAAATAGCCAATGAGCACCGGTTAGGAAAACCCATCATCAAAATCGTACCATTAATGTAATTATAGAGATATAATTATATGTTCATCAACATGGTAAGATTAGGTTGTGCAGATAAGATTAGCCTGCAACCCAAACGTGCTGATCTCTCAATTGACTGAATCTAGGTTTTTTTGGACCAATCCGGGTCTATTAATTTGGTTGAATATAAACTTTTTTTTTCTTTGTCTTCCCAAATTTAATGATCAGGCATAGGCCACATTGTGGCCTAACATGGTTCTTTTTTTTAAATATTATTTTGTGTAAATGAAAGAGTTTGAACTCGAAATCTCTCACTTACCCTTCCTTTCTACGAGTTACTCAATCCATCTCTGCTCCCCCTCCCCCCACATTAACCGTAATCTGTAGCAATAGCCCAAAACCAAACCCCAATTAACCCTTGCAATTGCATGTGGCAATTCTATAGGCCGTTAATCCGATAACAATTTTGAAGCTAATATATGGTCTTTTACATGGACCATTTATAGTGCACATAATTTACATCAAAATTACCACAGGTCCATCAGAGATAGTGCGACAGGAAATTGGGGACTCTTTGTATGGCTACCATCCCAATAGAGCCTAGGGAGGGGTATTGCCACATGAACGACCAATTATGTCTATGTAGCTACAAAAGCAAAAGCATGCATTCAAATTCCAATTCTGTTGGATTTGCATTGTGTGCAATTGCATAAGATGTAAAAATTTCCAGTGGTAACTTTCATTGTTCAAATTCACAGATCTCAACTCTCATTGTTAAGAAAAGGGAGACAATTACTGAAAATTAAACAAGAAGTTTAATTGGAAAGGAAAGAATAAAAATGTAGAAAAGCAAGAAACAACGACATTCATGGTTCTGAAGTGTATTACCCGTAAAGATTAACGTGGAAAATTTTGACTTTATTGAAACATATATGCAGTATAATTTTCGACCAAATTTGAACTTTCCTTAAATAATTTTTGGCATACGTGCAGTATACTCTACCAGAATAGGCTGTAATTTCTATCAATTACATGCTATAGAACCACAGATGCAGGGCACTGGGTGAGGAGAAGACAGCAAAAACATATACAAGTTCTAATTGCAACATAGAACTTGCACACTTTCAGCTTCAGATAATAGATTTTGTAACTCCCAAGGAAAAATAAAAATAAAAATAAAAAATTTGAACTTTGATGGTTGAAGGAAAAGGTGCATGCTGCAAATTGCTGAATTGCAGATTTCTCTTTACAAAAAGCGGTTATGTTTAGTAATGCTCATCCATCGCCACAAAAACCAGTACACAACTACAGAAGTTAACCCAAAATTTAATTTACCCAATTAGACAACTCTAAACAGTTTCTTGAACTAAAACAACAGATCCCAGGTTACTCTAAATATGCTGGCTGGCACAGTGATTCGACAAAAGATAATGAAATGTGGATGCATTCTCTAATTGGGAAGCCATATGTTGAAAAGAGCAAGTTTGATTATGATAAATAAAGAACTTATATGGCTAAATAAGCAATGGTTCCACAAAAATCAAGGATGTATTACCCAAGCTATTAGTTACTGCCTATGTTTTTAAACTAGGATCGGACCGGTCGGTTGAACCGATCGAACCAAGAACCGGCCAAGTATTGGGTCCGAATCTCCTTAAAAAACCGTCGGCTAAAAGCTCGGTCAAATCCCATCAAAACCCGGGTTTGATCGGGAACCGACAAAACCGGTTGAAGTCCGGTTTTTTTTCCCTCCGAGTCAAAGAAAACCTCCATCAGTCAGCCTTGGGAGCTCGATTGTGGTACCAGAACAAAGAACTTGTCATTATCACAAGTTAAAGGCCTCTCTGATTACCAAATTGCATAAGAGTTTCTTGTTATGTTCATATGCAAGATGGTGTCAAATGCCACAATTATTACTGCTGGTGCTTATTCAGGCACCTAGATATCTTCAATTGCTTCAGAAATCATTTCCATGCAACTTTTACACTGCTAAAATGTTCTGCAGGCAACTTTGATTAGTAAAATGGTTTACTTGATCTAGCTAAAAGATTTCTGTAATGAGGATTAATCACAAAGTTGACGCTAAATTAATGTTGGCTGTGTAGCAGAAAGTCTGCAGACCGAATAATGTTAGACAAACATGCGAAATATTAGTACATGAAAGAACTCATAACAATCTTGGAGTCAAGGATGTAGGCTGCAGTTAAAAAATTCATCAGGGACACCATCTCCACTAATTGCAGATCATGCTAGAGAGTGATTCCATGGGGAACAGGGTTTAAAATCCTACTTTCATTGCTTATTTATGAAGGAAACAGATAAAAAAAACACCTTCTACTAAAGGGGAGATTTTAATCAGCCTTAGATTTTACCACTTTAGCAGATAATTTTTGGCTTTCCTGCAATAATACTACTACTATATTGTTGCATGCTAAAGAATTAGTGCTGAAGCCCAGGGACATACAACACTTCCTGCATATTTCAGTTAACATCAAATGTCAGCATAGGTGGTCAGAGATTAAAATCCTACCAACAAGACAGATCCCAAAAAAAGAAATGCAAAAACTGTATGCAACAATGTTGTGTAAGGTGTGCTTCAGGCTCCTCAGCATCTAGTTGTACATGAGTCAAAGCAGGCTAACACAAAAGAAAATCCAATTGTGCACAAAAGTGACAAAAGAGGCTAAAAACTGTAGACCAAGTAATAAAGGTTTAAGCACAATTACATACCACAAATCTACTAATTGTTCTGTAAGGAATTAAACCCTGGTAAAACAGAGGAAAACTGCTCAGGTAACTAAATAGAACCACATTTGGTCGCTCTAACTTCAGATTCTATTAAGGAATTGTAGGTTTCCTCACTAAACTACATATCCCAGTCATAAGAAATATACAAAAATGAGGCCAATTTGGAGCAACCGCAAATTGCAAAAATAAGACTACAGGAACCTGAGTAACAGCTAGATTTCCACCTGAGTATATGTCACAAAACTCATCAAAGGCCTGGAGGCAGGAATTCAGGTTCAATCTCAAACATACAATCCCACACGCCATCAGTCAAAATCTGAGTTCATCTGAGCAGAGATAACTTTATGAGAGAACCTGTAGATGTCATTAGTCATTATCAGAAATGAATCATTCTCATTCTCACTTCTCCTCCGATATGATTTGGCTTGTCCTTCCATTTTGTCCAAGTAAGCAACTCTAATGCCAAAGGATGATTTGTCTGTGAGGTACGAAAGAATCTCAACAATGTCAAACTTGCACTGTCTGTGATTTTCTGGATGAGAGCCCCAGGTGATAATATCCCAGTCCTTGTAAATTGCCCAAGTCTCTCCTTCATTAGGAAGTATACAGAAACCATAACCTTCTTTTTCAATACAGAGAACTTGATGAGAGAATATATTAGGAGATTCTACACTGGTACTTGCACGATTAAACACACCACAGCCAACTGGTAAGCCAGCCTTTATCCACTCTTCCTCGCCTGGAAGCCCAGGAAAAGGCTTCAGCAATGCAACACCAAGCTTGATGTTTCCACCCATGTTAGTGACCTCTGTGATTTGCACATATGATCTTGGCATGTGATCTTTTGCATCAAAACAGGCCCATGTGTCCCCTACTTTAAAGCGACTTTCTAAGTTCTCATTCCCAATATCATCAGCCAATGCCCCTGGATTATTAAAGCCATTTCTATGTAAATTATCCCTTGAATCAGAATTTGATTGAGAAACATCAAAAAGTACTACTTGTTGAATGCTGGAAGCCAGTGCTTTAACTTGATTTTTGTCTATACTACTTGCACCTGAAAATAAATAAATACTAAACTCTGAAATTGCAAAATATCTCTAGATTCCTTATCTATGCTATGAACGGAATGCATACCTGATTCACCAGGATCATGAATTGTAACTCGTTCTGCCTCTTTATCATTTATACAGCTCCTTTTAGACAGATTATTGCCATTTTCATCGTCACCATCAAGAGTTCTGTCTGAAGCCAATGCCGAATTCCTAATTCTCTTCCTGCTCTTCTGTGTTTGTTCTGCAGTCTGAGTTGGATCGTCTGCATTAGGTTCTTTGTGAAATTGTTCAGGAGATTCCAGGATTGCAACAAATTTCAGCTTTAAATCCAAAATACTTTGCCTAAACTTTTTCTCTTTTGCACTGAACTCATTTTCCTTTCCCTCTAACTCTTTCTTTTTAGATTCAATATCATTTTCCCTCCTCTCCAAATTTTTTTCCTTCATATCTAGTTCATTCTCCTTTCTCTGAAAAATTCTACCTTTTCTATCAAGCTCTGATTGCTTTTTGTCCAAATATTCCACTGTAGCATTAAGCTCATTATCCTTTGTATTCAACTTTTCCTCTTTCACATCAAGTTCATATTGCCTTCTATAAACATTTTTTTCTCTCAAATCAGTCTCATTCTCCCTTATCTCCAAAATTTTCTCTCTTGAATCAAGCTTATTATACCTTATATTCAACTTTTCCTCTTTCACATCAAGTTCATTTTGCCTTCTATAGACATTTTTCTCTCTCAATTCAGTCTCATTCTCCCTTATCTCCAACATTTTCTCTCTTGAATCAAGCTCATCATACTTTGCCTTCAAATTTTTCTCTTTCATTTCAATTTCATTTTGCCTTCTGTCAACATTTTTCTCTCTCAAATCAGTGTCATTCTCCCTTATCACTAACTTTTTCTCTCTTGAATCAAACTCATTATGCTTTGTCTTCAACTTTTCCTCTTTCACATAAAGTTCATTTTGCCTTGAATCAACAGCTTCCTCTCTCAAACCGGTCTCAATCTCCCTTACCTCCAACTTTTCCTCTCTTGAATCAAGCTCATTATCCTTTGTCACCAACATTTTCTCTTTCACATCAAGTTCATATTGCCTTCTATCAACATGTTTTTCCCTCAAATCAGTCTCATTCTCCCTTACCTCCAACTTTCTTTCTCTTGAATCAAGCTCATTTTCCCTTATCTCCTGCCTCTTCACTTCCAAATCAAGCACATTTTCCCTTCTCTCCATCTCAGCTTGAATCAACTCCAGCTTTTGTGATAGACCCTCAAAATGCTTCTCTTCTAAAGCAACGTGCTTTAGCTTTTCATCAACAAAATCCCTAAGATTCCCAAGCTGCATTTGCTCCTCTTCCATTCTCTGCAAAAGCCCTTTCATCAAGATTTCCTTTTCATCCAACTCCTTCATCTTCTCCTCTACCCATAATCTCCTTGCAGCGACTTTTGTAGTACTCTGGCTGACAGATTCTTGGACCATTTTCAGCTTCTTCTCTCTTGACTCAATTTCACTAAAGCCTTCACTGAATTTGTTCTGCATCAGTACTAAATGGCTATCAAAATCCTTCCATTCACTGATCGCCAAATACATCAAAGCTTGGACGCTGTTCTTCTTTTCTTCATTGAGCTCCAATGCTTTTGATACCTTTTCCAAAATGCCCATATCGATGTTATTCTTCTGTTGATTCCTGATTGAACTTAGCATTACCAACAATTTGGGGATTGTAAGAGTATGATACTAGTAGGCCTTTTCTAGTCTAGGGTAGGGGAGTGTCTCTTGAAAGCAGGACTACGTCTGCAGGGAACATATTATAGGAGTATAGTTTTCTTGTTCAAAAAAGTTCTAGTACAAGGTACAATATAGGTGAAAGGAAAGGACAAACCAGGATTTTGCTCCTGAGCCACATTTAATAATTCTTGTTGGAGAAGGGCCTTTTCGAGTAATTAGAATTGATTAATTTTGATCTTATTCATAATAATTACTATCTGCCGGTCGCATCATTCTTGTAAGATGCAAGACAGAATGGAGAAGATCTTGTTCTGAAAAATGCTAATAGTGTGAGGCTGTCAGTGCAGATGCGGTGCAGAGAGGACCGTTAGCACTTTCAATGGCCCAGATCAGTTCGAAGTCAGCTAGGTCGATTTCCACCATTAACAGTTCGTACAATCGCAGAGGCCAGATTCATTGCATGGTATTGCAATGCTATATGATTAGCACGTTAAATTTTTTTTTTTTTTTTTTTGTCAAGAAGTCAATTGACTTTGACTGACTAAACAAACCTTAATCCCAGAGCATACTCCAAAAGCCGGCAACTCTTGGAGCAGTCCCAGGAGACTTATCTACCCAACAAACCCCAACCCCTCTCCCGATGTGGGACTAGAACTCACTCAACCACCCTGCTAGTCTGCTACTAAGAGTGTACTAACCCCCAAGTGAAATTGAGAACTGAGCTTCGTCTTTTTGTCAAGAAGTCAATTGACTTTTACTGACTAAATTAGCACGTTAAATCAAGTAGCTATTAATGTTGCTAAATTGGAGACTCTAAAATTAAATTTCAATTTTTTTGGCAAAGTTCAGTTTTGACTGTGTTCACGGGCAACTGCAAGAGCTCGAATCAAAACTTGACATCGAGTGCGAGTTGATTAAGTTAAACTCAATCTAAAAAATATTTAACTCGTTAGCTCATAAATTAATTTAATTTTATATATTTTTTTAAAATTTTGATAGTGAAATTACATACATATATTTTTAATATTTTATTATTTATTAAGAAAAATTATTTTGTTTATTTTTTAAAAAATAAAATAATTATTCTTTTTAAACTCAAATTTAAACTCGATTCGAGTCGAATTTGAATTTGACTCGAATTCAAGTTTGAATTCGAACTTTACATTGAGAGCTTATCAAATACGAGCACGATGTCAATTAAATAAAGTCGACACTCCAGTCGATTAGTTTAAAATTTGACTCGATTCGATTCGTTTGCAATCCTAATTTGAAGTCAACATAAAGCCATGTTAACCACGATGTGCTTAGCAATCAAAGTGTTTTTTAAGCTTAAATATACTCTCTTCGTTCCATTAAAAGTATTATACTTTTCATTTCAAAATGTTTCAAATATTTGTCATGTTAAAATACCTATTAGTTTCTCTTTTCAATATAATATATTTCTTTTATCATGTGCATGTTACTATTCAAATTCAAAATTTGAATTTGTGAGGGTAAGATGGAAAAAAAAAATACAAATATTACAATCAAACAACTATTTTTAAAAAGGTTGAATGCTTGAAATATGATAATCAATTTGCGACGGAGGGAGTAATTTGTAAATTGGTATTAATGGTTGTTTATAATGGTAAAGGTCGTTGTATGATCAAAATTAAATAGGATAGTCAAAATTGACTATAAATTCATCTGTGACCATCTCAGCCACGAACAAGAAACCCTACTATTACGCCTAGCACCTGTAGATCCTATGGTTACACCTAGCACCCGTAGACCCCTAGTCCAACACCGATAGGGGAGTGATACATAGTACTAAGCACCAATTTACAACTTGTAATTCATCATTAAATATCTTGTAGTATAATTTTATGGGTAAATTACATTTTACCCTCCTCTGGTTTTCACAAAAACCACGTAACCTCTTCATGATTTTAAAAGCTATACATAAATTCTCTGTGGTTTGGGTTGAAGTGTCAAATAGACGGAAACTACTTACCATGAAGATTTGTGGGCGAAATGTCTAAATTACCCTAATATAAATACAAAAAAGGCAACAACGAACACGGCCTGGGCTTCCCTTTCCTTTCATTACTTCTTTCTTCACAACGAGAGGAACTGCGTCCGCAACAGTCAAAGTGGTGGAAGGCCTACTTGAGTCAAATGGAGAGCTTTCTGCACCTCTCTTCAAGAGATAGGATTCCGGTTTCTGCATCTTTCTTTCTCCCATGCTTTTCCGTTGGTCAACTACCAAAAAAAACGATTTCTGAAACAAGAGCTCTAGTCATGGTTTCATGCTGTATGGGAGCTGCTGATTGTCCCTGTTTAGGCCCCCACCAGTGATTCCATACTGCCCTTCTCCATTGTTACCTCCGCTGCCATGACCAGTACTACTGCTACCATATCTTAAGCCAGGGCCCCTGCACCAGCCCCTGCCATAGTCATAGCTGCTGCCCCAACTCCCTTGCCTGCTGCTTGCTAGGGGTGTGCAAAGTCGAAAAATTTCGATTTACCAACCGATTTCGAAATTGAATTTGGAATTTGGAATTCGGTAATTCAGAATGGAATTCGATAATTCCAATTTCGAATTGGTTGAAATTAGGTCGAATTCGAAAATATAATTTTTGAAATCGAAATTAACGATTTCGAATTGGAATTCGAAATCGGAAATCGAAATCGAAAATATAATTTTGATTTCATTTTATAATATTTATATATATAATATAATATTTTTTAACAATAAAGTACTACTATTGGAATAAAAAAACAATAGATAAGGCTTGCATAAGTTACTTCAAGCCCAATTGAAGGAAGACGGCTTGGGCAAATCTAGAATCAACTCCACAGTCCTCAGAATCCGGAGATTTCGTTTCCAGCCAAAACCAGATGGCTTCTTCCCTGATAGCCTCTCAGACCTTAATCCTCCAAAAACCTACCATTATTTCTCCAAACAACCTCGCCGCTGCAACTATCCTCTACGGCTTTCCTTCTCTCTGGCAAAACCTAAAAGGCCGGCAATAATTACCGCTTCCTCGTCGACCCTTCTCAATAACTCATCTGCCAAAACCTCTGGTTACTAGAACCCCGCTCTATCTTTGCTCACTAGTTCAACTAGGACGGTGACTACGATGTTGGCTTTCGCACTAAAGGCCTCCAAGGTTCTCAATTTGGGCCTGCAATTGAAAGGCTTTCATGGCCTGCCGGAGCCTTTAGTCCACTCCGCCGCCCTGGCTTTTTTCATCGCAATTCGGGATGCTTCCACTGGAACTTTGAACACGCCGTTCACCGTGGTTGCAGCTGGGATGGCAAAATGGCTGGATATATACAGCGGGGTTTTGATGGTTAGGGTTTTGCTGAGCTGGTTCCCCAATATATCTTGGCAAAACATGTTTTTGAATTCGGTATTCGGAATCGAATTCGAAATCAGAATTAGCCATTTCGAATTCGAAATCGGTGAGAAAATCGATGTCCAAATTTCGAAAAATTTCGATTTCAAACTTCTGATTTACCGATTTCGAATTCGATGCATACCCCTACTGCTTGCACCAGGACCATAGCTACCACCATTCCATCCATCACCATTACTGCCGCCATCTAAACCATATTTACCGCTTGGACCACCACCTCCACCTGATCCGACCTACCACCATTACCACCTACAGAACCAAATCCACTGTCGTCATTGCTGCCTCCGCTTCCAGCCCCATAACCACCACCATTACCGTCTACAGAGCCATATCCATTACCATCATTGAAAGAGATAAGGAGCACAGATCTAGGCTTTATTGGATCCGTTAAAGTGGTCAAGGGTAATATGGGAACGTTTCTTACTGCTACCAGTAGTACAAGTGCGTGTAAGACACGAATCGTCACGATGGGTGTTTTTCGTCTATTTGACACTTCAACCCAAATCACAGAGGGTTTATGTATAGCTTTTACAATCATAGGGGGGTTATGTGGTTTTTGCAAAAACCACAAAGGGATAAAATGTAATTTGCCCTAATTTTATAGTCATATGTAATTTTTTTTTCTACAAAAGAGGTGAGGTTTATCCTCTAAACAGATATCAAACGTGGAGTAGCAACCCCTAATATGTCAGCTCCAACTGCTTCAAGTAATTCTCCAAGTTCAATTGGAGATTACCTAACCACGTGCAATCTTGGTTCATTGCTTATGTTGCTCTTAACCAACCAGTCGATGCATTGATTTGCTTCATGCCATATATGCTTTAGCCTGCATTCTCAATCCTTACTCATGTACTCTCTTATCTGGCCGATCAAGTTATGGTGTATAATGTTTAAGTATTATCAGGAGAGGATTCTTAGCGTTTAAATCTACACGGATTGAAAGAATGTGGAAAAGGATGAAAAGGTTAAAAAGCATTAATTATTTGACTCCAAAAGCTAATTATGTAAGACTAATTTAAAATTTATTTTTATTTATTTTTTTGTTTTGTTACTCAGAATCTGAAAATCACGATCACCAACCTAGGGTTCCGTCTATGGTGGAAAGCTGACTCATCTGTGCATGGTGGGAAGAGCAAACGAAATTTGGCCAAGACATCATTGTGGGGTCGGGAAAGATGTAGCCATTAAATGAGCTACTGGATACCGGGTAGAAGCGGTTGATTATGTGGTCCCTTTCTATTTCAACGAAAAATAAAATGTAAGCCCCTCAACAATTTATGGGCACTTGTTTACACCTAAAAATTGGCATCAGCTGGGGAGCAGGTCCCAGGCCAAATTGATGAAGGACAAATTTTGAAGGGCAATTTTGGTAAGTTAAAAGCCCATAAATGTATTTGTGTGTACTCCAATCTTAAGGATTAAATTTAATTGTTGGTTTGCGTAGATGAGTAATTATATACATAAATAATTAAAAGGAATAATTTTATAAAATTTTATTTTTCACAAAAATTTATTGAAGAATTTTGGTTCATAAGGTTATAGTAATTTGGTAATTACAATACTTAGGGTAGTTATATTGGCAAAATGTGATTAAGCAATTAGAGCAAAAGTTAAAAGTTTTTCCCTAAGGATAAAATTGAAAGTTTAGAAAATGATATTAAAAAGTTTATACTAACA